AGTCAAAGCTTGTGGGAATGAAGACCAATTCTATGATGATTTCAGACCATTTGTGAATCTTGACCATCTTCTTCTAGTGATTATTGCTGCAGAATCATCTAGATCGACTAATGGAAAATCCAAAGACAAAGCAGTAGACTAGAGGAGCCCAAAATTCTTGACTAATCCATTGAACCTGAGCTAATTTCTCAGCTCTTCATTTTTCCTCATCGATCAGGTTAGTGCTCATAGGGCTTGACTCCTCATTCTTACCTGACAAATAAAGACCTGTGTGATAGATTTGATATTCCTCTCTCATGTTCTAAGCATTGCTTCAGGCTGTTTCTTAAAAAAAAAATGATAAAAGGCAGAAAAGATTGAAATGATTTTCTTTTAGAAATAAAGGGTTAGGAAAATTTCCAAGGATCCCATTATTTTACTTTTTAAGTGGAATGATCACACAAGGGATGGAAGCGAGGGGTAGGAAAATTTCATGTGACCCCATTATTCGCCTACACCTTTGATATATAATGAGGGGACAAACCGGGGATTCGGTGGCAATCACCATCAATAATCGCGTCTTTGAACCTTGTTATATGTGCCGAAAAAAAAAAAACGAAACAGCTTGAAAAGTGAATAAGTTCGGAGGAGAGGAAAGGTACTTTTGTGTAGTATGGTCAATTTGTTAAGGTATAAGTATGGGAACGAGTCTAGAAGGTCCTTAGCACTGGTTTTATCGATGAAACTCAGCGATGATGGGACATGGATGATGTTATGAAATTGAGGGACTAATCTGGAAAGCTGTAGCGTCTACGGAGAAGTACATGGAGGTTAGATTTTTGATTGATTTTGCAGCAGATTGTCACATGTCTTGGTCAGGTTTACGGTCTTTTGAGTTTTGCGAGTTCCCAGTTTTATCCAGTCATTCTTTTGGAATTGAATTTGAGTTTGTTTGAGGACAAACAAGGATCCAAGTTCGGGGGAGTTGATGAGTGGAGATTTTGACTCATTATAACCTGTGTTTACTAATTGTTTTAGGAGTTTTTGGAGTCTTTTCAGGAAGTTTCAGGTGACTTAGAGGTCTTATCAGAGGATTGGAGTGTTTAGGAGGCATTGGAGTAAAAAGAGATGAATTTGAGCAATAGGGAGCTATTTCACACGCTTTTGGAGAAATCATCCGCGGAGCACCTGCTCCAGGTTTGGACCCTTCATGGATCACCTTCTCCAGACGGGAGAAAAATAAGGAAAACGATTTTACCTAATCCTAAGTCACGTGAGATGGAATAAAAAGCCCAGAGCCGCCTGTGCTTTATTATCATGTTTTTCTACAGACTTTCTACGCTTTCTTTTTACAATTTCCTGAACCAGAGAGTTTTTACTTGTAAGCTTTTGGGAGAAGAAATCTGCTACACTTTGAGAAGAATTCTGAACCCTATTATCTCTTCTGCGATTTTAATTCATGAATTCCTTTTCATTTATTGCTGTGTTTCTTTTCTCCATGTCTGAGTAGATCTCTTAGCTAGATTAAGGTTTTCAAAGGATTTCATGAGTTAGAGAATTGGATGCAAATAAGGTCTATAATCGATTGTCTTCACCTTTGTTAGACTTAACGCTTAATTAGGTTGAACTGGCCATTCAATTTACGTTCATAGGTTAATCTATTCATCAAAAGTGTAATAGGTTGCTAGAACAAACACTGGTGAGCGATTTGTCCTTAGCCAACGACAGTTGAAGTTAAGGCAAATCGTGAATAGATCAAACCTGCTTGTTAATGTTTGTCTGCAATTTTCTAAGTTCAAACGACAGTTTAGAATTTAGGTTGTTAGATAAAGTTATCGAGATCACGACAGTGGATCGATAAGCTTTTATGTTTGAGTTCGAGACCTGCATTTAAATTGTGCCCTGAATAGTCATTTGATTCTCATCTCTGAAACTCCTGCGAATTACCTTGATCTAGTGCTTGTTTTAATTTGAATTTAAATCGTTGTTTGCCATTCTGTTTACTTTTTAGTTTTTGCAACAAACCATCTTTCGTCTTAGCTTTAATTCAATCCTTGCAAAATCATAGAGTAACACTGGTCCTCTGGATTCCGAATCCTTTATATTACAACTACATCACTGTTCTATTGCAGTAGAAACTAGGAGTACATCCAGTGTGAATCAGAAACATACTTAATATGCCTTAAAATAAAAAACACCACTACTTAAATCAGATAAATGCAACATCTCTAAAGTTTTGGAAGAAGGATGTCTTAAGCGACTATGCCACAGCTCCAACGACGGTGAGTCCAAACGCTGAATCGCCGCAGCCACTTCGACTCCTATAAAAAAATATAATCCATTCACTTGCTCACCCGCTCCAATCAGCGTCTGAGTGATGCGGTCCTGAAAAACACAAAGGCGATAAGAAATCTGAAATATGCAGCCCCTATCTCTAGTCAGTTGAGATACAAAAATCAGATGACAATGCAGCCCATCAACGAAGAAAACGTTATGAAGTTTCAGATTTGATCCCATATACACATTTCCTTGTTCATTTGAAGTAGTACATCTTCCATCCGTAAGTTTGATCATAATCGGTGCCATTTCACATATATCAGAAAGATAATCAATGCTTCCTGTCATATGGCGGCAAAAAAAATGTTGGTGGATGTCTTCCGTTCATTCAATATAGCGACCAATGTGTGCCACTGCTGATCATTGAGTCCACGGAAACCGATTCGATATGCAGAAGTAAGAGCAGCATTGTGTAAAGCAGAGGCTGAAGGACCCACATGTGAACTAGAAGCACCAGACGCCACAGAAACATTGTTGACTCGAGCAGGCTCAGATTGCTTTCCACGAGATGGAGAGGGAAACAGACTCGGTGCAGAGGAAGCAGGTGCTTCGGCAGTTGACTTTGACCGCGAGCGCTCACCTCATCATGGCGGATAACTGATTTTGCGGAAGCACTTATCGGCGAGATGACAATTCCGACCACACAAGGTGCACACGACTCGACCATCTTGAGGAGTAGATGACCGAGCTTGAGGTTGTACCGCAAATCTCACACCATTTGATTGGTCTTCATGTAAACGACCCAATGCCTTTGATTCTTCATCCTGAGTAAGCACATTATGTGCTTCATCAAGTGAAGGCAGAGGAGTTCGCGAGAGAAGAGCAGACTTGACTCCACCATACAATGACTCATCGATTCCCATTAGAAATTGATGAAGTTTATCTTCTTCACACTCCTTTGCAATCTTTTCAGCAGTTTTGGCCTTTTGATATCAGCAAGGCTTGTCCAGAGCTTTGTGAGTTTCCTGAAATACGTCTCAATCGGCATGCCTTGTTGACGACACGTAGCAAGTTCGGTTTTGAGTCGTTGAATGCACTGGCCATTCTTAACTGCAAATCGCTTCTGAATCTGCATCCAAAGGCTGTATGCATCATCGCAGTATGACTGAGATGTGTACAATGTCTCATCAATGGTAAGTTTGATCCATGATATGACAAGAGCATTGTTTGCACACCAGTCTTCGTAATCAGCAGAGTCTTCATCCGGTTGTGGAATCAAACCATCTGCGAAGCTGAATTTCTTTTGTGCACGCAGCGCCAGTCGGAGACTGTTGGACCACTCGTCGTAATTGGGTCCTCGCAGCAACGGCTTTGAAATCACCCTTCTGGGATCATCACCGGAGCTCAAATCGTATGGCGAGATTGTTCGCATTACGACCTCTGTAGAATGGGTCAACAAAGGAGGTGGATTCCTTATAACACTTGACGATTCGTTATGAGTGGGATTCTTCGTCATCGAGAAAAAAAAAATAAACTTTTTAGAAAATAAAATTCAGGTTTCAGAGCTGCGGTGGAAAAACACAACCAATATCGAAACAAAAAAACCCTTTGTAGTGAGGTTAATGCTCTGTTACCATATCAAAAAACCTTAGACGTTGTAAATAGGTTTTTCTTATTGCTCAAGTTATGAAGGCAGTGCCTTATATACAAGTTACATAAATACAATAATATACAAATCATCGATGTGGAATATATTCACAACAAGTTTGTGAAAACAGGCTTATATCGGCCCAATAAGTTTCACCTTATAAAGGTCAAGTAAGAGCAATCCAATACAATTCCTTATCATGTCAATTTTTCACTTTGAATGTTATGTGTGTGGATGGGTATCTGGTTTCTTTTGTCAGTATGGTTTGGTTAAGTTTCTTATATCTTCTACATTACAGTTTCAAGAGTTTGAAACTTCATGCATATAACGTTTGAGAAAGCTAAAATGCAATTCGTACTCTTTGAAAGCGAAACAGGAAGGATTTGTCTCAATACAGTAACAAAACTCTGTTGATTACACATACAGTAACAGAACAATCAAGTTTAGTTAACTAGTAAAAAAGATTATTGACCTCAGATGGCACTTCTTTAGATCACATTCACTAAATTGCACATAATAACAACAAGAACGAAATCTACAAATTGTCACAAAAAAAAAAATTTGAAATTTTTCAATAAAACCAATATCATTCTCAAGCTAAGATGATCTCCGTAATCTACTAAACTAATCGATACCAATATCTAAGTTGAATGATGAAATTTGGTTTACACAGAAAATTTTCATGAAAATTTAATGAAATGAGTAACCAAACAAATCCAAATTGACTAACCAAACAAATCCCCAAACTCAATCAAATTGAGTAAAACAGTGAAAAAAAAACAAAAATTTTCTAACTCAGTCGTGATTCAAGGCGGAGGATCAGCACCGTTCGATCTTAGCTGATAATCCCATAGCCGCAGATGACAAGAATCGCTTTTTCCCTCTCGGGTTTTCACTTTCCCTTTGAATTTTGAAGTTTTTGCAAAAACACCCTCTAAATGACATTTTGTTTTCACGTTTACCCTCAACTTACAAAAAATACATATTGAACCCATGAAATTCAACTTAATCTTGTCAAGTTTATCACTATCGTCAAGTTTATTCCATTATGATAAATTTTGTTCCTTAAAATTATTTCCCTGACTTTTAAAACCCGAAAAAGCCTCATTTTGCCAGTGCTCACTGCTTTAGAAAGAAAAACCTCGGTTTCTCCTCCTCTTCTCTTTCGTCTCCACAAGTTGCTGGAGTCTGAAATTTGGAGATCAGGTTTGTGTTTGTTTTTCCTCTCTCTCGACAGTCTTGATTTTTCGTCAGAAATGGCCATGAAAACTCGGGATTACTGTTGAATTTTGATTTCTCTGATTAGGGTTTCTCTGCATGTCAGTTCTAGGGATCAGGCTAGTTAGCGTAAGATTGTGACCTAAATAAAACCTTGAAAAAGCTTCTTTTTTTGGCAGTGCTTTTGAAAGAGAAGCCTCTTCTTCTCTTTTCTCTGCACGAGTCGCTCGCTCGAGTTTGGAATTTGGAGATTTAGGTTTGTGTTTGTTTCTCCTCTCTCTCTCGAGTCTCGATTTCTCGCCCGGATTATCATGAAAATTCGGAATCTCTGGTGAATTTTGAGTTTTCGATTTCTCTGCAGGTAGGATTGTGACCATGGCGAAGCCGAAGCAGCTCGATTTCTCTGACGACAACTCTCCCTCCACACGAAAATCCCCGCGGAAACGTGCCTCAAATCCCAGTCCTGCTTCCGAGACGACGAAGAAGAAGAAGAAGAAGAAGAAGACTAAGAAATCAGCTCCGCCTGTGAGCAACAGAATCTGGAACGAGGAAGATGAGCTCACTGTGTTAAAGGTCTATTTCTCGCTTTTAGTTCTCATATTTCATCTTCTTGATTGCGTTGTGATTCAATCATTGTGATTCAATCTGTTTGTGTACAAAAAAAATAGGGATTAGTGGATTATCTAGATAAGGAAGGAGTCCAACCCAACAGTGACTGGGATGCCTTTTATCATTTCCTTGGAGATTCCATTGCTGAAAAATTCTCCAAGCAGCAGCTGTTGAGTAAGATAAGGAAGCTGAAAAAGAAATTCCTTCTTCACATGGAAAAAACCAGTCAAGGAGACGATATGCTTTGTGATTCAGAAGCCATTCGACTTTCGAGAATGATATGGGGCCAAAATGGTTCTGAATCAGCTAATAATCAGAGCAAGAGTTTTGTAAGTTCTCATTTGTTTTTAACTTCTTTTTGATTCACCCTCTGTGCTTGTTATAATAACATGGTTGATATGCTTGATATTGTTTAATAATTTGTTGGTTTTGTAGAATCAGGATGAGGCACTTAAGGACAATGACCAAGTGGCTAATGCTGAAGCTAATGAGAATGTGGCAGCGCTTGGTGACAAGAATACTGATGTGGATGAGTCAGGTACTTTGCGAGATGCATTTGAGAGCATTATGTCTCGATGGTTAAGTGATCATCAAAAGAAGGTACAACTCGAGAATCTGATGAACCTTGAAGCTGGAAAAAGAAAGGAGTTGAGTGATGAATGGAAAGAGTTATGTGCTGAGGAAGCGAGATTGAACATCAAGAAGTTCAAATATTCCGCAAAGTTTGCCGAGGCAGCAGCAAAACGATGAACCAAAGAAAGATGTGCGGAGGATGCTTTTGTATTTAGCGTACTTGGGTGTTTGATAGAAGCAGTAGTGTTTCTGTTGCGTTTAAGGAGAGTAGGAATAGCTCTATGATCAAGTTCCTCTGTTTTTCTTGTGTGTAATCTAACGTTATCATCTACAAAATATTAGTATCTACAATCTGATGGTATTAGTGGTTTATGGCATTTCTGGAATGAGCTTAGTTTCTTCTTTTATCGAAAGCTCGTCTCTTTCAAATACAGTCCTGGGAGAAAAGGAAAAACGAAAAGGAAAAGTGAAAGTTGCAACAATTTGTTACACATTTGAAAATAAATGAATGCAGAGGATAATGCAAAGCGCAATAACAAGAAGTTTCCATGACTTTAACCCATCGTTGCTTCTTGCCAATGTTTCTTTTTATAATCATCCGAGTGTCTCTGTTCTTTTGTCATGGTTCGGTGTTTATTCTTATAAGGTCATCTCTATCACTATCACTCGAAACAAGAGATGAAGAAAGGAATGATAGTATCATCAAAGTCTCTGTTGAAACAGAGTGATCACTAGTTTTTTAGATTTCATAACAGCAACTTAACTTTCACCGAAGAGAGTCTTTATCTTAAACCATTACTCCATAACAAAAAAAGGCGAAAAATACTCTCTCTGAATTGGAAACCAAGACACACACTACCAAACGAGAAAACAAAGTAAGAGTCCACAAACTCCCAAAGTATCTCAAAACAAAGACGGACTCAATAAACCCCCAAAGTTTTCTGAAAACTCAAAAGGACTTCAAAGCAAATCATCGAATGAAAGAGGTATTTTGGCAACTGCAACCTCTTCTTTCTTTTGCTTCATACTAGCTTCTAGCTCTATGCGTTCCAATTTCAAACTCAGCAGCTTGAACTCCATTTCTAACAGCTGAGTCTCACCAATTAGCACTGTAAACTTATTTTCCAACACTTGATGCAGGTTGTTCTCCAACCAATCCACTTGAAATCCTGCGGTTACTACGCAAGCCAATGCATAAGAAGCTCGTTTCAGATCATCATCGGTGAGTTCCTGAGGTGGTTGGCACAGCGTCTGAATTACTCCGAGGAGGATATTAATGTACGTTGTCCTCAAATGCTGACACTTTGTTTGGACTCCGGATGCAATGTCTGGGTGAGCTTGAAATATATGCTTCACAGTTTCTACCTGCACGGATGAATAATAAAACCTAAAAATATCTCAATGATTACTTTCATAACAGGAAACCACAACTTGTCTTCAAAATCAACTTCTCTATATCTGAAGTGCTTATGATATACTTCGATGATAACTATTTTTACTGTTTCTGACCTGTGAAGGAAGAACAAGAAACCCATTGACTTCAAAAAAGCTTTCCTCGAGTTGTTGAGTATTGTTGAGTGGTAAATCACTAGAAGAAGACAACACAGTATCATTGCCATCATTTCCTTGCTTTCTCTTTTTCAGAGGTTGGGTTGCCTCTTCAGATTCATCTAGTATACCACCAATAGCTTTAAGAACATCTATTTTGGCAACAATCTTGAGCTCCCCGTTTACCAAGAAACCACTATCTTTGTGATGAATGAAAGTAAGCGGGAGCATTTCTAAGAAACCCCAAGAGCGAGTCTTCTCATCAAAGCACTTTCGGAATTCTGTGAAATCTCACGAAACATACAAGTTACAACTCTAGTTAAAACTAGCAAAAACACAAGTCATTCACTTTATAAGAACATAAGATGTTTTAAGAGACCATAAACTATTCAAGCAAGTCGAGATAATTCACCTTTTAGTTGGGAGAGTGATTGGGAATGTTCATTGACAATCGTCAAGTAAACTTGTGCGTCTCTCATCCATCCATCAGGCAACGATTCACGTTTGGCGACTGTCAGAAACAGAGACAAGCAATCAGCAGCCTTATGTCCCTTGGGATAAGCAATAAGGTGCCTGCAGGAAAACACAAAGTAAAACAATCAGAAACAGTATCTATCTACTCTTAAATACACTTGAAAACACTTTAAAACTCTTACCATTTGCATCCGCCGATGATGAATTCATCAGAATAGATTTTCTCAGATTGCAAAGTGCGGAAGTTTTCAATCACCCAAGTGAACTTGTTATCAACAACTTGACTTCCCATTGAATAATGGGAACTCGTAACCAAAACTACAAAGAGACACAAAACCCCTTTCAAAGAATGAAAACACACTCTCAATAAACAAATAAACCACTGTCAAAACAAAGACCATTACCCTTAGATAGAGAGACACAGACAAGAAGAGAATACGAAGAGGCGATAATATTGTGAACCCGCCCTAGTCCCTAGATACTCCTCGAGACTTGTTTTTTCTGCATGCTTTTTTTTTTCTTTTAAAAAGTTCATAATAAATGGTTATGCAGATGAATAATAATGATGCCCCAAGACTCTTCGAGTTCCACCTTCTTTATTCGCCAAAAGAAATAAACTAGGTGTGAAAACGTAGTGTCTTATCTTCTCTTAAGTTCTAAAAACCTTCTTCGAAATGGTTGACTCCAGCGATGACTCCACCTCAGATTGCTTTGAAATCAGGCGCAATAGCAATGTCAACAAACCTTTTCCTTGGTCTCCTCTCACGAGGAAGCATGAGGACGATGAAGTCATCTCCGGTACGGAAGCGATGCTCAGAAGGAGAAAGCAACCAAAGACAACGATGGCATTTGTATCTTCTTCCTCAACCCGAAAGATCATTTGGGCCAAAAATGCAACAGAAAGTGCTTCTAACGAGAATATGCAAGACCAAGCAAAGGTAGTGAGTGTTCCTCCTGTTCTAATATGGTATTAACAAATGCTTTATTGATTGATCTTTGGTTTTTGTTTTGAAGAAGAATGTGCCCTGTGTGGAGCAAGAGCAGGTGAGTTACACAAGAATAGAGAAAGGTAAGAGTAAGGTTGATGGTGTGGATGGATTTTGTGTTCTTCAGGACGCACTTGAGGCAGCAGCATCGTTTCGAAGTTTAGAGAAAAATCAACAGAAAATGAAGCTTGAGAATTTGGAAAACCTTGGAGCTCAACGAATATATGAGCTACTTGATGAATGGAATGCATTGATCAACGAGGAGAAGCAGTTGATTTTCAAGAAACTGATTTTCTCTGCAAAGCTTGCAAACGCATGAGTTTCTGCTTTTGGAATGATTCCTACTGATTAGCTCATGTTAAAAAAACTAACAAAAAAGGTTTTTTTTTTTTTTTTTGTTTCTTTTGTCTTAGGGTAGACTGATTCTATGAAAATCACCATTCTACTTCTCATCGAGTTTTGTTAATCTACGTTTTTCTGTTTCTGAAATTATATGTTAAATATGACCTGATAAGGCACTTTAATCATCTAAGACTATCCCTTGATTGCTCGACCTTTGTAACATGAAATTGTGAAATTTGAGGATTAGATCTCTTTAAGCAACACCTAAACTCAACTAATCTTTGCATCTCTTTTATTGAATATGTAAACGAGACTATAGAGATATGGAAATATGCCTTTACGATAACTACAATATATTCTATGTAATCTTCTCTAGATACGCTTTCTAGGTTAACCTACTTGTATAAATACCTTGCTATGTACATCAATAATACACACACATTCACATTCATTACATGGTATCAGAGCTTTAACGATCTCTGACCTAATTCTTCTCAAATTCTTCTCTAGTTCTCTGTTCTTCTTCTACCTCGTTCGTACATCATGGCGGACGAAACCTCTACCTCTATTATTCCTTCTACTACCACGGTGGCCACATCTACCACCGATTCTCCCTACACACTACATCCCTCTGACAACCCTGGTGCTCTAATTACACCTGTGCTTCTCCGAGGAGATAACTCTCCAAGCCAAACAGAAGATTGGCTTCCTCGATGGTTCTATCGAAAAATCAGTCTCCAACCCTGATCTCACTCGGTGGATTGCTACCAACTCTATGATAGTTGGGTGGATCCGCACAGCTATTGATCCTACCGTTCGGTCTACCGTCTCTCATGTCTCCGATGCATCAAAACTTTGGGAATCCCTCAAAAGTCGTTTCTCGACGAAAAACGGTGTTCGCAAACATATGCTCGAAGATGAGATTACTAATTGCAAACAGAACGGACAATCCGTTCAGGATTACTACGGTCGTCTCTCCAAGCTTTGGGACGAACTACAGACTTTCAAGTCCCCTGTTTCGTGTACCTGCGCTGCTTCCGCTGCTCTCGACAAAGAACGTGACGATGCCAAAGTCCACAAGTTCTTGTTCGGTTTAGATGAAGCTCGTTTTATTACTATTCGCTCCCAAATCATCGATGAAGATCCTCTACCGGACCTCAACAGTGTCTATTCGCGTGTTATTCGTGCTGAACAACATCTCAACAAAACCCGGTCCTCGGAAATTCGCCAAGATGCTGTAGGTTTTTCAGTCCAAACTGCGACTCCTTCTTCTTCGATGCCTCTTACTGCGGCTGTGGTTGCGTCTCGTAGTCGGGATCCTAATCGCTTCTGCACTCACTGCAAGCGTAAAGGTCACGAAGCGTCCGAGTGTTTCTTACTTCATGGCTATCCGGAGTGGTTTATTGAACAACAACAACAACAGCGCTCCACCTCTTCTCCGAGTTCTCGCGGTCGTGGTGGTCGCTTCTCTGGCTCCGGCGGTCGCGGTCGTGGTCGTGCGAATGCATCTTCTGCCACCGTCAACACGCCTACTCCTACTGCTTCTTCTGATCAAATTGATGCTTTGATTACTTTGCTTCAGAATCAGCAATCTAACCTCTCTACCGATCGCTTGTCTGGTAAGACAAACATTACTGATGTTATTATTGACACAGGCGCCTCTCATCACATGACAGGCGACTTGTCCCTCCTACGTGACCCTATTGACATTACTCCATCTGCGGTCACTTTCCCGGATGGATCTGCATCTCGTGCCACAAAAATTGGTACTTTGCCTTTGAGCAAAGATTACTTTCTTCTCAATGTGCTTTATGTTCCCAATTTTGATTGCACTCTGATCTCGGTTTCGAAGTTGCTTAAGCAAACCGGATGTATTGCGATCTTTACTGATACCTTATGTGTTTTGCAGGACCGTTTTACGAGGACCCTGATTGGAGCAGGTGAGGAACGAGAGGGGGTTTACTACTTCAAGGGTGTGACTGTTGCGAAAGCTAATCGGACCGGCAAGGAAAAAATTTCCCTACTGTCTTATGGCATCGACGACTCGGGCATCCTTCTTACAAAGCATTGTCTTCTTTACCTGTTTTTGATTCATTACGCGTTGATTTTGGACACATACATCCCTGTGACATTTGTTTTCGTGCTAAACAAACACGAGAAGTTTTTCATGATAGTTTTAATAAACACTACAAGAAAGAGGGGCTTTTCCGTCGAATTATTTACGACGATTGGTAGTCGTCGTAAATTTACGACGACATTACGTCGTATTTACGACGATAGAAAATTTCGTCGTAAATCCGACGTAAAAAATAACCCTCGTAAAATCGTCGTAATGTTACGACGATATTACGACAAATAAAGAACGAATTTTATTTCGTCGTAATCTTGTCGTAATATTTACATCGATAATACGACAAATTGTCCTTTATCTTGTAGTTGACGTAAAATCGATGTAAATGTGATGTAAATTTTATTTCGACGTAAATTTGATGTAAATATGCAATGGTAATATGTTGGTAACCAAACAAAAAATTCTATATATACCCTTTCTTCTCTCATTATTCCATCAACCAAAAAAACATATAAAGACACAAATTTTTTGAGTCTTTGAATGTTTAAGTAAAAATTTTAGTAGTTGAAATTTCTATCAAATTTCAGAAACAAAAAGTCAAATATTTGTTTTTGAAATGTCTATATACGATCTACGAAAGTGGATGTATACGCCCAAAAATGGTGATGGGTCGTTGACTGAAGACTTCAAAAACGGATTGGAAATATTCATGTATCAAGCCGGCCTTCTGGAAACTGTAATTGAAAGCGGCAAAATGTATTGTCCTTGTGTGAAATGCAAAAATAGGAAACATATTCTTATTGACACTGTCTGGCAGCATTTATTGAATAGAGGGTTCATTCCCCAATACTTTATTTGGTATCAGCATGGAGAGGGATATGGTCAAAGTAGTGGTCAGATGGCTGCACGGAGTAGTAGTAATCATCAAGAACATGTGGATTTTGAAGCGTCCAATGATTATCAAAGTAGTCAAGTTCAGGGTGAAGATCATGATAGGATGCATGAAATGATTACTGATGCATTTCATGAAACACATGCTGATACTGTTGAGGAGCCCAATGCAGATGCGAAACGCTTTTATGATATGTTAAACGCAGCAAAACAGCCTCTGTACGAGGGATGTAGGGAAGGTTTATCAAAATTATCATTGGCAGCTCGGATGATGACAATAAAAACTGATCACAATCTATCTGAAGTTTGCATGAACGATTGGGCAGATCTTATTAAAGAGTATTTGCCAGATGATAATTTGGCTGCTGAAACGTATTATGAAATTCAGAAGCTGGTTTTTAGTCTTGGATTGCCTTCTGAGATGATTGATGTTTGTGTTGATAATTGTATGCTTTTTTGGAGAGATGATGAGAAGCTTGAAGAATGTCGTTTCTGCCAAAAGCCAAGATATAGACCGCAAATTGTTGGGCGTAAGAAGATTCCTTACCAACGAATGTGGTATCTTCCTATCACTGATAGGTTAAAAAGACTATATCAATCCGAACGGACAGCTGCGTCGATGAGATGGCATGCGGAACATTCACAAACAGATGGCAAAATGACTCACCCGTCTGACGGGAAATCTTGGAAACATTTTAACACCGTACATCCAGACTTTGCTAGGTCTAAGCGAAATGTTTATCTTGGTCTTTGCACTGACGGGTTTAGTCCATTTGGTATGTCTGGTAGGCAATATTCATTATGGCCTGTGATTCTTACGCCATATAACCTTCCTCCAGATATGTGCATGCAAAGAGAGTTTTTGTTTCTAAGTATATTAGTCCCTGGTCCAAATCACCCGAAGCGGGCCCTTGATGTGTTTTTGCAACCACTCATACATGAGTTAAACCAGTTGTGGCATGTTGGAGTACGAACATATGACTGTTCGAGTGGTAAAAATTTTACGATGCGAGCGGTGCTTATGTGGACAATAAGCGATTTCCCGGCATACGGAATGCTATCAGGTTGGACAACGCATGGGAGGTTATCATGTCCTTATTGTCTTCATAGGACTGATGCATTTCAGCTTAAACATGGTAGGAAAACCTGTTGGTTTGATTGCCACCGTCGGTTTTTACCACCAAACCATCAATATAGAAGAAATAGGCGTTTGTTTATAAAGAACAAATTGGTTCGTCTCCCTCCACCAGTGTACCTAACTGGAGTAGAGCTTGAAGCGCAAATAGATCATTGGGGTGGACTTGAAACGGTCCCCCTTGGAGGAAATTGGCACACTCCTGCGAATATGCCTGACGGATATGGGGTTCATCACAATTGGCACAAGAAAAGTATATTTTGGGATCTGCCTTACTGGAAAGATCATTTGCTTAGACACAATCTTGATGTTATGCACATTGAGAAGAATTTTTTCGATAACATCATGCATACTGTTTTGAACGTCCAAGGAAGAACCAAAGACAGCGTTAAATCACGGATGGACTTACCTGATATATGTAACAGAATTGAGTTGCATATGGTGAGTAATGGGAAAGCACCTGTTCCTGTATTTCGGTTGGGTGCTGAACAAAAAACAGCATTGTTTAATTGGGTATCATCAGCCGTGAAATTTCCTGATGGATATGTATCTAATCTGGCTAAATCTGTGGATAAAGGACAAAAGTTTTCAGGGATGAAAAGTCATGATTGTCATGTGTTTATGCAACGGTTACTTCCTTTTGCGTTTGCTGAACTCCTACCGGGACATGTCCATGAGGCACTAGGAGGCATTGGAGCTTTCTTCCGTGATCTAAGTACAAGGACATTATCAGAAGATGTAGTTGCACAACTGTCTACAAATATTCCAATATTGTTGTGCAATTTAGAGAAAATATTCCCACCTGCTTTCTTCGATGTTATGGAACATTTACCTATACATCTCCCTCATGAAGCAGATTTAGGAGGACCTGTTCAGTTTA